TTCAGCTTAAGTAAAAGAACCCCCCCAGCAATATCTTTTCTTATATTTTGCTAATCTTTGTGTGTATCTAAAGGTTGTTTAGATAGGTTTCTCTCAACTTATCCTTCCGCAAACAATCTTGTAAAATCTGTATTGATCTTCTTTATCAATATATATTTTAAATTTGAAAATTGTGTTTGTATTCATCTTCCCCCCCCCCTTCTACAAACTGTTTAGTATTCTTGTAGACCCTTTTGGGACCAACACATCTTCTTCCAGAATCAAACATGGTTTATCGGAGTCTAGATATGGGAATGATTTAGGGTAGCTTCATTCCAAATCTGTTCCTCTCACTTATCGTGACAAATTCCATAGATGAATGGAAGGAGACGAAATCCAGAGACGATGCTATGGAGATAGGGTTATTTTAGTTTTGATATTTGTTATACAAATCAAATTAAGAAGCAATTTATTCTATATAAAATTAAGATCCATGTGAATATTAATCCACCACATCCAGTATGATCATTGGTTTTGAAGTTGATTTGTAGAGTTCTTATGGATTCGAAGAATTGCTTGTTAAAAGAGAGGGCGGAAAGGTTGAAAGTTTTGATGGGGAGATGCAGTGGATGGGGAGGAGAGTTGAGGGAGACACTGCTATGCAGAAAATCACAAAAGAGCTGGTAGTTATTGCAAGTAGTCGAAGAAAGGCTACCGAAGAAGAAGGTTGGGCTACTGATGTTAGGGAACGAAGGGTCTAAGTTGTGTTTATTTTTTTGTAAAGTTTTTTTGACTTGTAACTAAGCATTCCATTGTATATTTCCAAACTGGTATTTAGGAACGAAGATAATGGCCGGTGAGATTTGGTTGTGGTCTCGATGGTGTATCTATGACACGGTAGATATGGCTTGACGAGGGTTGTTTGTTACTATAGATCTGTGATGGTGGTGGAAGGTGAGTAGCGAGATACTTTACTGGCGAAGATGAGGGAGGAGGTATGGCGTCGACGGGAGATATTTCTTGGAGGGACAATTTATGTCTGTGATATGTGTATATATATATATATATATATACACAAATATACATATATACATATAGGAGGAGAGATCAATTGCAAACCACTTTTATTTATGAAAATCTTACAAACCAATCTCATCTATCAATTTTCTTGATCAATGGTCAAGATTAAATGTATTTATATTAGGAAATAAAACGAAAATAAAAATTAAAAATTAATTTTTAATTAAAAGAAGGGCAAAATTGTCAAAATTTTAATTCGTATGAATTTGTAAACGAGGTAACCAGATCGTGAATATCCAAACATTAATGAAACAAAATCATTGTTTTAAAATCTCTATATATATCATTTTATCATTACAAAAATTTTAACAAAAAATATTAGAATAATCTGACAAATTATATTTTGATAAAAATTATCTTCATTTTATGACTAAATATTATAAATAAAATAACATCCACATTAAAAATAGAGCCAAGTAATGAACAATGAAACTAAGTATATTTTATAATAAATTATGAAACATAAGAACATACTTTAATCAACAAAAAATAATGAAACATTTTGAATACTAAATGAAATATTTTGTTTCATTAAATGAATAAATGAAACTGTTTCACCGTTTATGTTATGAACTCAAGTGACTCCTTGTCACTTTCAATGAAAGATGGACCATTTGACATGTAATAGTGAATGATATATGAAACTATTTCATTAACGGTTATTAAAGTAGAATTGGACTCAATAATTTCTAATCAAACTAATTTGAAAACAATGCATATCCGAATAAACGATGAAACATATAAAGAATGAAACATTTTTGAAAATTGAATGAAACATTTTGAAAACTGAAAACTTTATTTTCGTAGGTGAAACTTTTTCATGCATAAAACGTTTCGAAATATTAATAAATTAAATTCATCAGTGAAATTGTGTTCATGATCACTATTGACCATGACATTCGTTTTATTACTCAAACTACATATATTTTTTCAATGAAACGGAATCAGATTTCATATTGTAGTGTTTTTACAATTCATATTTTAATAAGTATAATTTAATAAAATAATAAAAACTATTAATGGTAAAAAATTTATGTTAAGAAAATTTGATTTACCAACTTCTATATTTAATGTTTCAATTATTACGTTTTCATAATTAAGAGTAATTATTACCTTCCAATATTAACCAGTATACAATCAAATGACCATTATACCTTTACTTATTAAAATTAAAGAAAAAAAATACGGAATTTTTCTATTGATCGAAAATGGTTTGCATAGTTTTCATTAATTGGGCAGTTTGTAACATAACCCGCCTCCATACATACATACATATATATATATATATATATACATACATACATACATACATACATATATATATATACATACATATATATATATATATACATACATACAGGTGGAGGCTCAAAAGAGAACACCTTCATTTTACGAGAATGTGAGAACACCCTATCACATGTGATAATACACATGAGAAGACCCTATGATGTGCGGACGACGTGTTCTACTACTTACCCGCGCCAAAGGTTGTCTGCATCTATGATTTAGTATTACATGTGATGTATTGATTGATTATGGTATTATATCAACACCACATTTATCACATGTGATAATACTTGTGAGGAGGCTTAGTGGTGTAAAAGGGCGACTTGGCCTGCAACCAAGATCGCATTGAAAATCATCTGCGACTCTGATTTAGTATCACATGTGTAACATATGTGATTGAATAATAATATCATGTGATTATCTATAGTAAAGGGTGTTCTCGCTTTCAAATCTCGTTTGAACCCTTCCCCATACATATATACATATATATATATATATGAAATATTATATAGAAATCAAGTATACATTATATTATTTCTTTGACTTTTTATAAAAATAAAATGATTAAAATGCCTTAATTTGATGGAACTAAAATTAACATAGTTAAGACAAGAGACCTAATCTATAACAAAAATGAAACCATGATGATCATATACATAATTATTTCATTTGAGAGAAGTAATCCAATATTTATTTTCAAACAACCAGAGGAACGAAATTTGTAATTTATTTAATCAAAAACAAATTTAGACCATGTGAAAATTGCTAACTTTGAAAAAATAAAAATAAAAATGAAAAATGAAAATAGCAAGATAAATAACAGGGGATGGAAGAAGAGAAGAGAGAAACCCCTATAAATAGACCACATATGAGTTGGAAATATTAATAACAATACAAAAACACCCTTTTCTTTTTCTCCCCAAATTCTAATTCTCAATCAACACCCAAATTCATGGAAGACATCGGTGATGAATACAAGAACATCGGCGATGAGTATAAAAACTATTGGGAGACAAATATGTTTCTTCAGACGGAAGAATTTGATAGGTAATTAAGCCCTTTCTTCTTCATGATTAAAAATTTCTTGTTTTACTTCAATTCATCTTCATCTGGATCTGCAATTACAGTTGGGGCGGATTGGAAGAAACATTTTCCGGTTACTACGATTCTAGTTCGCCAGACGGACCTCAATCATCGGCGGCCTCCAAAAACATTGTTTCAGAGAGGAATAGGAGGAAGAAGCTGAATGATAGGCTCTTTGCACTTAGAGCAGTGGTCCCCAACATAAGCAAGGTGTGCCCCCTTCAGACACTATTTATTATAAACCGTAGTATAATAAGTGCACTGTCGCCTCACTTTTTTTTTTGTATTTATCTTTTTCTGGGTGCTCCTGCTCCATAACATCACCCTTTGATTCCATCCAATTTTGTAATTAAATTTTTAAATAAAGAATATGTTTAATTATTTTTGTTTTTTGGTTAGATGGATAAAGCTTCGATCATAAAAGATGCAATCGATTACATTCAACATTTGCATGATCAAGAGAGAATTATTCAAGGGGACATAATGGAATTGGAGTCACGAAAATCGGAGTCTGATGTGTTTGATTTCGATCAGGAAGCGGAGTTTATGTCTTATGAAAGATTGAAGAAGAAAAAAATAGAACAATCTCCAGATTCAAGTGAATCAAGGGCGTCTCCTGTTGAAATTCTTGAAGTAACTAATTAATTTTATCAAAATTATAATCATGTTGATTGATATATATATATATATAGAGAGAGAGAGAGAGAGAGAGATAGAGAGAGAGAGGGGTGAAGAATCGTTTGAGAAGTGAAGTTACGGTGAGAAGCATAAGAAAACATCTGAATTCTTGATCACTTTTAATCTCATGTGTATCCATGATTGCGGTTTATAAAGGAATTGATCTGATGTATCTCGATACACTCATTCAATTAGGATTATCTAAAAGTGGATGATCTTTTCTTACGCTTCTCATCGAAACCCAATCATATATATATATATATACATATATATTGATCTGAAGAAATTCTATGTAAAATTTGATTTTGATGTACAGTTAAAAGTGTCGTATGTGGGAGAGAAGACGGTGTTGGTGAGCTTGAAATGTAGGAAGAGAAGAGACACGATGGTGAAGATTTGTGAGGTTTTTGAATCTTTGAAGCTCAATGTTGTCACTGCCAACATAACTGCTTTTTCAGAAACCATTTTCAAGACTCTCTTCCTTCAGGTCTCTCTCTCTCTCTATATGAACATGTTCGGTTATGAATTTGATTTTCATTACGAACTAGGAAACAAAGAAGATTGTGCCACGTATTTCGAATACATGTCACATTCTTGTTTGTCCCCAAGTTCGCAAGGAAAAACATGTTACTTACCCCCTTCTCTCTCTCTCTCTCTCTATATATATATATATATATATATTCTATACTATATTATAAAACATTAATAAAAAACTCTTAAAAATTATTTTTTTATACATAAAATATATTTATTTATGTATATTACTTAAAATTCAAGATTACAAGTAATTGTGCGAAGTACTACTTATTAAAGCTTCATGTTTGAATTCGTGTAACTAACTGCAGATAAATATAATTAAATAGAGAATAATCATCTCATTTTAAATATAAGAAATCTAAAATATAATTAAGATAATCACTGAGTTCTAACAAAATACTTAATTATTATCTTTATAAAAATTATATTATTAAACCAGAAATTAAAAAAAATTAATTAGGGAAATAAGCAAAAAAATGTTAAACTTTAAATAGTTAATTTAATACTAATATAAATATTTTTTCTTTCAAATTTTTATGATATATCTTCATATTTAGATTTTATTTGAAAATAAAAACATTATCGTTTTCTCAAAAACACATAAAACTGTATTATAATATCAACTGAGACAAAAAAACGATTAAAATAAGAAATATTTCGCTGCATTGTACGAGTACCCTTCTAGTATATATATATATATATATATATATATATATATAGAATCAAAAAATAAAAGAGTAAGAAAAACGGTTAAATCACATTTAATTTTAGTATTTACTTGTGACTATTGAACACGGTTAACGTAACACTAAGGAGTCGATCTGACCCGCAACCTTATTTCTTGACCAAAAGTAACATGAATCATATATGATTTTTGTATAAAATCACTTTTGATTCAACCATAAAAAACTGACAAAAACTTTGATCTCTATGTATATTTATATAATAGAGTAAATTAACATATACTTTTATCCACTTGTTATTTGAAAAATTATATTTCCGAAAGTTTCTCATAAAGATATATAATTTGAAAAAAAAAATTAAATTTTAGAGAACAAACTTCTAAAATCTATGTCAAAGTATACATTCACAAATAAATGGTAAATTATAGATACCATTTTTTTTAATATTTCTGCCCTTTTTATATCTTATAGAACCGTATGTCTTCATTAAACATAATTAATGAATAACAATTCTTTTATATATGCACAAGTATTTTATCCATATAAAGTTTATTTCATACAATATATGAAGATAACAAACATGTCCCGCGTGACATTCATGCTTGAATGTATACTTTTATCGGTTAAAAATAATTTATCTATCTAAAAATGTTAAAAAAACAATACATTAAAGACAATATTCTTAACTCATATTCATATACACCGATTATAATTAAAAGTAAAAGTTATCCCAATAATAAGTGGCTGGGCCCTTATAACATAATTTCTACATATCTTTAACAAAATTGCTTTAAAATATTATTGATTTAGAAGCTTCCCCACATTGATATATTTTATGTGTCTATTTGGATTAATATTATTTTATCTGGTGGTTGAGACTTGAGATTAATGCAAATATATTAGAAATTGGTGGTTGAGTTACAACCATGTCTTTTTTTTAGCTTGTCAATAAACAATCTTTTGTTTTCAAAATGAAACGATTCTGTGATTCATAATAATAACAATTAAAAACCCAAATATTTATATAATATTAAAATTCATGTTCATTCGTTCATGTAAAATTTAAATAAATAGATATCTATGATATCAACAATTAATAAATGCTCAATTTGAACTCTAAATTATTTAGATTTTGTTCATATTATAGCTAAAACACTAAAGATTATTTGGCTCCCAAACGTGTGATGATGATATATCCATTCGTTTTTTAACACATGCTTGCCCACACATACAAACATATATAAAAAACCGAAAAACCAATTATTTAATAAATATTCATTATCATTGACCTTAAAATATTGTTAATAATATGGATCATGAATAATATTTAAATAGTTGATTCTTCGCTTATTGAAATACTTATGACTCTCTCTCTCTTATTATACTTATACGATGTACACCTATTTTTGCAATAATAGCTTGGTCCACGACGGGTTTAACCGCATTTTATATGTGTCGGATCTATTTACTTACTTTTGAAGGACATTTATTAAACATACAATTCATGTTTAAATGTTTTATCATAATATATAGATGTTATAATTGACCATTATTTAACGTGTGTTTGACATATTATTTTTATTATTATAGGCCGATGAGGAAGAAATAGATTTACTAAAGATCCAAATCCATTCAGCAATATCAGCTATAAATGACCCTCCAAGTCCAATGAGCACATGATGTCATCATTTTTCGACATTTATTTGTTTGTAAACATTTCTTTAAAGTAAATAGGTCATTCTTAGGTAAAAACACTTGGACCTAAATACTTTAAAGAAAATGAGAAAAGGAAATTAACATAATCAATAGAGTGTCACCCCCACACACTCTATCTATCTTTATTTTTCTTTCTACTTTATCTTTTTTACCCCCTTGGTGATGAACAAGAGTTTTTCTTCTAGACTTTTCCTGGTTTCTTTTCCTCAAAATTGGTAGTTTGGTCCAGAGTATATCAACAAGATTGTCTCTTTTGACCATGGAATTTCCATATTTGGTTTTTGTGTTATCTATTTTTAATCTTTATTACATAATATTAACTCTATGTAATAGATATTATCTGATTTTGATTATTTTTTTCATATCGTAATATTCATTTTGAAAAGACAAAACTCTGATACAGAACTCAGACATAGAGCATTAGACAATTAGAAATAACTACTTACAAGATACAGATCTTATGTATAATACATACAGAGCTTCTGGTTCATAAAATTTCCAAAACATTTTAAAATCTTTTCCACATGAACACAGGTTCTCTGGTCCTTCTAAAAGACCAATTAGAGCCCCTCTGCATCATGCTCACATATGTTCAACTTGTTAGAAATCATAGGCAATTAATGCCTCTGGTTATAAATCATTTTCTCATTCTCAATAACATCAAAGTTATTATTTATAAAGAGAACAATACCTATAAATCATCAAGTCACAAAGAAATGTTGTTGATAGTGATAATAACAAGAGTTAGAATAATACCAACACCTGCAATGGTCACCCTTATATCCATAGGTACACCTCTATTTGATATGTCACCCTTATTTTTTTTCTTTAAAATAGGGTTCCTTACCAGATGTAACACCCCACATCACACATTGCATATAACATATAATTCATTCAAAAGAAATACAGTATTACTCCACTTAGGTCCCATAGTACAAGAAATTAACGTACAAAGTACATAACCCAAAAATTCCAAAATACAAGTTTTTGTAGTATCTCACATTTATCTTCAAAACTAGATTTATCCATAAGCTGAACTTCACATAGTTATGCACATAGGAAAATAATTATATTTTCCCTTTTCCTTTATTATCCTGTAACCCAGCGGTTCCTGCAATACATATTAGAAAGACAAGATGAGTGTTAGACGGGAAGGTCAAGTGAGGTCCCTTTTTTCTTGTAATTGCAGGGTGAAGATCACAAAATTTTATTTAAAATCAACTTTTCATATAAACAGATACATAACCACATAGTTCACATCGACCAGTGCCCTTCTGATTTCAAAAGTCAATCTCTGACTTATGAATAGTTTATTTAGCAAAAGTAGGGCTAGAGCCTTTCAGGTTCCACATAACTTATTCCCAAAAACTTTTCATCTTAAACACGGTTATTCAAAACCTCTGGCCAAAAGCCAATTATCCCCTTCTCAATAACATTATTACTACCATTGCTAATAAGAACAATGTTCCTGAATCTTTAAATAACAAAGAAATAAGGACTCAGAGCCATCGTAATCTTAAAGGACATAGTAGTAAGAGTTGCATCAATAATCACATACACAAATGGCACCCTTATATCCAAAGGTACACCTCTCTTTGATATGACACCCTTATCCCATGGTACACCTTTCTTTGATATGACACCCTTATCCCATGGTACACCTCTCCTTGATATGTCACCCTTATTTGCTCATCAAAATCTATAGATTATTTCCAAACAGGACAGACCGAAGTCACAACCGTCGTGATGGAACATAATCTATAGTTTTAACCAGTAATAGTTTCAAAACAGTCTTTACATCAAAACTTTTGGAACTTCAGAACCATTAGTTCAAAAACTATTTATAAAATATTATTTTAATCATTTCAGAAAGAAATAATTTAATCAAAACCATCCAACTTGTACGGATAGCTTGTATCCGAACAATCAATCTTTGAACATTATATCAATTCAATCTTGTACGGATAGTCTGGATACACTTTGAACATTATATCAATTCAATCTTTGTGGCCAGACTTATCCCAATCCAGTCAAAATCATGGCCGGACTCGTCCCAATCCGGTCAACATTGTGGCCAGACTCACATGCTTCAAAATCATACTAACACTCAATCCGTTCAACATTGTGACCAGACACTCCCAATCCGATCAACTCAGTGACCTGGGATGAACTTAATCCTGTCATTGAATGTATTCAAGTACAAAACATAATTCAATATATCAAAACCACAATCATATGCAACGAATGTTTAAAAACACTCACCTTATGCAAACTTAAGAGTTTTGAAGGTGAAAATAGCAAGAATCCAACTTCAGTTTCCAAAATAGTGCAAGTAATCCACAAGATATTCTCTCTCTTTCTCAAGTTTTCTAAAAATGGCAAGAAAACTTGCCCAATCTCAACACCCCTCTATTTATACCCCTTCCGTAAATGGAAGGCGGCCAAGAGTATACATATACAAAAATCATATTCCATGCATACCAATTTCATATTCATGCACACAACATACAACTTTCATGCATACATACATACCATGCACTCACACATGAAATCATTTTCATAACTTTGCATGCATAATATGATTATATCTTCTATGTACAAACATAAACATATTCTCACACATTAAACTCATGTAAGCATATATCCACATGATTAACTATAACAATCAATCATGTATTCACATAATCACATATCAAATAATCACATAATAATTACCTCGGGTGATAACCAGAACCCAGTTATCACACCTATTCAGACTTACGTTACTACGTTTGGAAGTACCCAATACCCAGTTCCAAGCCAGAATAGACAAATGTCACCACGTCTAAGGGAGCTATTTCTTAAAACAAAATTTCATTCCAGAACAGACTTATGTCACCACGTCTGGAAGAAACATTTCCCAAAAATATAGTTTCAAACCAGAACAGACTTATGTCACCACGTGTGGAAGAAACCTTTAATATCTTTTCCACTTTCTTAACAGATATAAAATTCCCATTTTCAGAATATAACAGTTTTAAAACCAAATAAATGTTAATTGTGAAAATCCCATCGTTACATAATTTAAAGTTTAGATAAGATCTCATTCATCAAACAAAAATTGTACGGACAGCTTTGTTCGAACAAGCTTATCCGGACAACACATGTCCCGACAACCTTAGCCGGACGTCCCTATCCGGACAACACAACTAACCTGGGCGATAAATAACTATCCGGACAACACTCAACCGGATATGCTCTTGTCGGTCAACATAGTGTCCGGGTATAATTCTCATCGGTTAATACGATGATCGGACATGCCCTCATCGGACAACACAGTGTCCAGACACAAACTTCATTAGATAAGCATGTTATACTAATCCGGACAACATAGTGTCCGGACAAGCTCTAATCCGGTCAACACATAAAAACCCTCTATACTCTTCACCAGTTAATGAAGTTCATCAAGAAATGTGTATACATACACCAACAATTCATTCAAACCATAAAAACCAGTACTAATTTAATTCAAAGAGTGGATGTTTAAAAGAACTCACCTTTTGTAAACTCAGATTTTGAAGATGAAATAGCAAGTACTGTAACACCCCACATCTCACATTACATATAACACATAATTCATTTAGAGAAATACATGTATTATCCCACTAAGGTCCATAGTACAAGAAAACTAGGATACAAAATACACAACTCAAAAATTCCAAAATACATGTTCTTGTACTACATAGCATTTAATCTTCATAACACATCTATAGACTAGTCTCCACATAACTATGCATATAGGGAAACAAGTTATATTTTCCCCTTCCCTTTACTATCATTGAACTCAGCTGTTCCTGCAATACATATTTGAAAGACAAAATGAGGGTTAGACTTGAAGGTCTAGTGAGATCCCTTTTTCCTTGTAGTTGCATGGTGAAGATCACCAAAACATTATTTAAAATCAACTTTCCATATAATAAGAGCATAATTTCATAAATCATATAATCCAGCATGCATGTGGTTATAAGACCAGACTTAGAAAGATTTTCATCAAATACATGTACAACTCTCCTTGATATGCCACCCTTATATCCGAAGGTACACATCTCCTTGATATGCCACCCTTATCCCATGGTACACCTCTCCTTGATATGCCACCATTATTTCCTCATCAAAATCTCTAGATTAATTCCAAATAATGACAGACCGAAGTCACAACCTTCTTGTAGGAACATCCTCTATAGCTTTAACCAATAATGGTATCAAAACAGTTTCATTCCAAAACTTTAAAACTCAAGAACCAACAGTTCTTTTAATATCATTTTCCAGACTCAAAACTCCTTTTATCCTTAAACAGGATATCATCCTCAATTGTTTTAAAAAAGCAAAATCTTCTTTATTTCTCAAAAACAGTTTCCAAAACTCAGATTTATAAAGCTCAACTTCAACTGTTAAAAAATACAGTTTACCATTCTTCATCAAAATCAATCTTCAAATCATATATTTCAAATAATACCAAGTATAAAGATTTTAATATAAAAAACTCACCTTAATATGCACATATTTGAGATTAATCACACATCAACTTCTTCTAGTAAACACAGATTCCTCAAATCACTTTTTATGCTAGATTTCTTCTCAAGAACACCTTCACCGCCACACACACACTTTTCTTTTCACAAAGATCTCTCTCCAAAGATAAGATAAGACTGATCTTATCTTCTTTATATATCTTAACAAAGGCGGTGTGTATTTTATTATTATAAAACTCATAGGACGGTGGAGTTTTATTAATTTTAAACTTCACCTTTCTTAACCACGAAGATGCATACACACATATTTTAATAATTTTCCATGTATACATTTTATCATATGTGCACACACATATATTTTTAAAACTTCTCACATATGCACAATAACATATTCACGTATATGTATGGTCCATGCATTTACTTAGATAATCATGCATATTATCATATCGCATAATAATCACATAAAGTTTACCTCAACCATTGTTGCCTTAAATGCCGGTTATCACAAATACGAATCAAAATTGATTCATACTTCAATTTCCAAATAATGCAAGTATCACACACACAATTCTCACTCACTGTTCAACTTTCTATAAATGGCAACCAAAAACTCTTCTTCCAAAAAGGCCTTCCTTTTATACTAGCTTTGACAAAGACGGTTTTTAGAAAAAAGAATATAAAATTCTTTTATTCACAATCCATGCATATACACACATGAAATATCCATGCATGCAAATCATAAATATAAA